AGTGTGCACTATGGCCGTGACGTGGGCAGTCATGATCGCATCAAGCGCCGGCGGGAAGAAATCCGTGTCCTCCGGTATCACATACCCGACCAAGTCCGGTATCAAGCTTTGGGTCGACCCTGCAACGCCGGCTGAATCGTCAGAGCTACATCAGCTCCCGTGGTCGACAGTGGGATCTCGTCATGAGTGACGAGTTCAACACGCCGGGCCGTAGCTTTCGACCGGGTGACGACCATCTCTGGACGTCTCTTGAGAAACCCGATGGCGTGAATGGAGCCCTCGAGCTCTATTCGCATAATATGACCTCCACGCGATGCGACGCTGATGGCACGTGCTACTTCTACATTAAGTCCGTGGATGAACTCAATACGATTACCGTCTACAACATGTATACGCACCCGCCTTCGTTTACGAGCGCCTACTTTTTCTACCGATCAGCGATGGTGCAGTCGTGGAACAAGTTTTGCTACCAAGGAGGAATGGTCGAAACACGGGTACAGCTTCCTGGTGTAATCTCCCCCGAGTCGGGGAACCCGGACTTGTCAAATGGCAAAGACCAGCGCGTCAAAGCCAACATGTACTACCCAACATGGCCCGGCATCTGGATGATGGGGAATCTCGGTCGAGCAATTTTCTCGGCTTCGACGAACCGGATGTGGCCGTTTTCGTACAACGAGTGCGAGCCTGACCTCTTTGACCCAAGCTACCAGCGCATCAGTGCTTGTAACGACAATCCGGGCTACGGGTTGAACCCAAACCAAGGTCGAGGCGCACCTGAGATTGACGTGCTGGAAGGTGGCGGAACTTTGGTGTCCTCATCGGTTCAGATTGGTCCAGGCATGCCTGATGTATACCGACCCATGTATACCGACCCTAACCAGGATCCACCCTCGTGCATTTTCAAGAGCGAATGCAATACACCAGGTGCGAATGGTCCTGGCATCCCGACGGCTCTGTACAAGAAACGTGGGTACAAAACGTGGTACCAAGGTCTCCGGTATTCGTCAAATAACTTCTGCAAGCCAGATGCCGGTGAAAAGCAGTCGTACGGCCCCATTGCGGCCTCGTTGAAAAAAGGGATCACCGAGAATGCGTGCACGAACGACGTCTGTCCTGCTTCGTTCGATGTCAGCGGTGACTTGAGTCCGATCGACGGCAAAGGCGGAGATCGCTGGGGCATCAACTCGAATGGCACTTGCTACGCGCTCATCAACGTTTATACTGGAGCTTACCTGTGCGATCCCGACAACACATTCCACAAGTGTTCAGATCCTCGCGACGAGGCGAAGACGCCAAAGTCCAACGCCATGAGCTCGTTCAACTACCAAATGGACGCGATCTCTGCAAATTGGCCCCTGCACCTCGGGGCGTACACGGACTATGTGACGTATCAGCTCGAGTGGGTCACTGGAAAAAAGGGATATGTACGATGGATGCTACAAGGTATTCCGCTGTACGAGATACCGGCCAAGTCGATTTGGGATGTCCCACAGAATGCGAGTAGAACGAATCCGGTGAAACTGATGCTGGAGGAGCCCATGTACATCATCTTCAACGTGGCTCTCTCGAAGGATTGGAGTGCGGCGCCTCCGAATCCAGGCAAAGCGTGTCGTGGGGATGGTACGGATGCAGTTGCAAATTCGATCTGCGATGCGTTTCCGCTGTACTTGAAGATGGACTACGTTCGCCTGTACCAGGACATGGGAGACGATTTGGACGACGACAACTACATGCAACTTGGCTGCGACCCCAAAAGCCATCCGACGAAGAAATGGATTGATGGGCACATGGACGAGTATCAAGATGACGACAATCCTCACAAGGAGGTAGCCGGCAAGGCTTTTTGCGCTATACACGACGATTGCACGATTGGGGGAGGTGTGGGGACGAGGGTGTTGAAAACCGGAAAGTGTGTCAAAGGACGCTGTCAATGCATATATTCGATGTCATGGGGCGGACCTCGCTGTACCACGGCCATATCCGGTTCCTCTGCGACTCATGTCAACAACACATCGATCTCGACTGACGCGTACGGACCTGCTTTTGGGATGTCGATTGGCGTCGCGGGCATCATGGTACTCGTGACATTCTTTTCCGTCCTAGCGTCGGCGAAAAAGGAGAAAAAAGCTGCGGCGTTGTTGAAAAAGCAGGTCAAGTTTGCTCCGCTTACGAGCAATCGGCTGAACTCGAACGACACCTCAATCAAACGTGACGAGTCAGCCACCAGTACCGTTGGCAGCGCCCGCCACATCCCGCGAGACAACTACAGTCAGAATTTCGTCTAACTTTCGCGAAGTAGTTACAGAATGTGCATATCTTGACTCACTTCTGAGCTTGATAAGCGTTAGTCTCGTCTCTTTTTTTCGTTCTTGAGACGAGGTAGTGTGAGCAAGTGCTAGAGCTAATACATGAAATAGATGATCAAGCTGAAACATGATCTGTTAGCGCAGGAATGCATCAGCTGACCATGTTGCTCTTGACCAACTGCCATCAGAACTATAAACAGTCCTTACTGCTGGCTCGTGTCGAGTTGTATCCTTTCGATATTGTCGATGGTCGTCTACAGCTTCGACCTCAATACGACACATTCGGAAGCCATGACAACCACGCAACCTTGCCATGTATCATTCGAGTAGCAACGGATACTGTCAGTATAGCGACACACAATCCCTTTTGGGTAGAAGATCAGTACAAAGTACGCTTACGTGATGTTTATAGCGCTTAAGAGACGCTTCTTTTCGATGTAAAAAGATCGGTAATTCAGGCTAAAGCCTTACTTGCTTAAGATAAGACCTCAACAGTAAAAAGACAATAGTGGAAGTGCTTCAGCAACTAACTTGCACTGGAAAAGTGTCTTCCGGCCTCGAACAGCTTAACATTTTCACGAACCAAGTGGTTCTATGCTGCGCTTTTGCCGCACTACAGCGTATACTCCCGCGACTAAAAAACAGAAGCTGTCAGCTCGTTGATTGCTGGGCAACAAATAGTCGAGACTGCTTTGCTCCGAGAAAACCTCACAACAATCGTTGTGATGCACGGAGCGCGATCAAAAGTGTCGCGATTTGACAACGGCGTCGTATTGAAGAAGCGTGCATTTGCCAGGAGCATCTTGCTGTCATGTAAGGTTGCGGCATGTGTGTACGTGCCCGAAACGAAAGCCCACAATGTCTACTCGGGTCGTAGCAGCAATCTTACGTCCACCACTATCATACCGAAAGTCGCTATCAGACAAGATACAGTTTACATGCTTGTTGACATGCCTGACCTTTTCAAGCTGAAGTTTCTACGCAGCGCTCATAGTGAGGAAACAAGATCCTGACTTACGGTTGTCCTGTGACGTAAGCCAATCGAATAAACTACGGGACGTTTTGCGTGCTGTGGATAAACCATAGAACGATCGAAGGCATCTCGCGAAAGTAGATCTGCGACACGCATGATTTTAGGCCACGACTAGGGGCACACCCCACTTTTGCTAGGGGCACACCCGCCCTCCTAACATGATGAATAGGACTTCCAACCCTTCGAAACTATGCAGCACTAAAGCTGCACGACCTCGCAGAATCGACTCGGTTGCTACTTGCTTCACTGTGATACCATTGTACGTACTACGCTTAGTGTGTTTCTTCCTAAAGCGAGGGTCATGTTGATGTATTGACCGGCGACAGAAGACGGCTGTTGTCGGGCTTTGCTTGCACCTATCAGTGCGCGACAACGTTTGGCATAAGCGTCTGGATCCAATTGTCTCCAGCGTCGACACAGTTGAGATTTCGTGCGGCCACTTAGCTCAGCAGCAAGCCGCGGCCAGAGTCTGGGCGACTCGATGCCCCACTTGCGCTATCTTGTAAGAATGAGTTATCTGTCTGCTCGGTGAACTTACGGGACGACAAGTCCGAATTGATGCAGTTAACGTATCGGTCCCGAAGCGCTGGCTGTGTTCGCCCGGGCACATGATGACAAATGTCGTTCCACGGCACTTGATCCTGATTGGACTCACTGCCTTTTGGCACGTATGCACGAAGTGCGAGCAGCAGCCGTCGATCCTCACTCAATGAAAACTTGCCTCACCGAAGACCTAATGCAAGCGGGAGCTGCCATTGATGGCGGATCTGCTCCGACACACACGGCCATCCATCAAATCTGCAATCACGTTCCACTTTTCGCCAAAAACCGGGACAGCTTCACGCAGGATTTAATCTTCTTCTGGCGTAAAGGTTGACCGCGTGTTTCCCGCGTTCAGCGCTGTCTGGTACCGAGTAAGACAATGAGCTGCTGGTCTTCCCGGCACTGGCATGCGCTTTGCAATCTCGTGCCACTTCTTCACCAGTTTCGGGTCTTCTTGTCCCGTGGCCAACCGTCGAACCGCTGTGTCTTCCTCTCTCGTCCACGCGCGAAGTTTGTTCCGCGCTTGCAGAAGTATCTCCACGTTGGCGGCGTGTGTCATGTAGAAATCTTTGGCAAAGTCCGCGACGACTTTACGCTCTCGACTCGTGAAAATCGGTGGGGGCCCGACTACGAACGACTCGTGACTGTGAGCACGTAGAAACTCGGATGTCGTTGCCACTGCCGATGGTCAGATCTTGGCATCGTACCATTGGATTGTATACCGTCTTCGAGACAGTAGAGATCTCAGCAGGCATTGCCCGTTTGGATACTGCCCTGGCAAAGATGGATTGATCAAATCTCGCGCATGAGTGCATTTACCGTTTAAGATAGGGACATGTCGAGCAGAAGTAAGTGACTGCGTGTTTTACATATTCTGCACCATAAAATGTAAAGTCTTTTTTATCATTATGGGAGGGCGGGTGTGCTCGTAGCAAACGTGGGGTGTGCCCCTAGTCGTGGCCTAACTTTTATTGGCACATCAGCGACAAATCATGATGTCAAAAAGGTTACACGTCCACGTCGTACTGACATCGATGTCGCACAAGCCACAACTCGGGCCAATTGTAACTGTTTGGCACAATGGGCTGGAGTCAAAATTGTAACACGGGCATGCGCTCTTAGTGTAGCGGCCGAAAAAATGCGTCACGTTTCGAGGCAGCAGCAGGTTTGGCAGGAGCGCGCGTCTTTGCAATGACAAGAGCATCCTCTAGTTCTAGTGCATGATTCGGATCCGGGCATTCACCACCTTCCCAATTAGCAAGCGAATGAGCAGACAGGCTGACCACAAAGCGGTCCACAAACGCCTGATCACTAGCTTCGCGCAGGTCCATCAATGTAACAGGAGCTTGCTCTAGTATGAAAGCTACCGACTTGTTAGTCGCCTTCAGCACCACTAAGCACAAGAATGACAACCACCATGTGTTAGTGCCAGTTGACCATCCAAAATCCCTTTATTCTGCCTCACTTACCACCAAATTCCATATATGTAGCATTCAAACGGTGCCAGATAGCGTCCATTTTGACAAACGCTAAGCGTGGTCCAAAAAACAGCAAGCAAATTAGTACAAACATAGTTTCACATGTGTCAACAACGCACGGCACCAGGCGTACCCGCGTAAAAGAGTTCATAAAATGCAGCCGGCTCTTCGAAAAGCGGCCAGAACGGTTGTTTCGTGTCACGGAATTGACCATTGCCAAGCTGCAATTGTCCCGCGAGCAAACACGTCAAGTTGATCCCAGCCACACACACTGGGTACCACTTTCTTTTCACGTTGCCCGAGTGCACCATATTGTCCAACTGCGTTTTGTACAGCGTCTGCATCTCGGTGGCATGGGCTTCGAAGGCGTACACTAAACACTTGAGTGCAAGCATCCCACCGCCTCGAAAGTCTGTCTCGGGACTGGCGTTCTGGAACCCTAATGTGACCCAATCGACGGCTCGTTTGTCAAAGACCTCAGTCTCGTCTCGACTGTCGACTGCTCGCCATAGTCGCTCGAGCAACGCGTCAAACGTTGCATCCCCTGCGGCAACTTTGTGCAACAGATCGTTCTGCAGAACGTCAAGTTCTCCAGCGGCCTCCACTGACGGCAGGCGGCGTCGGTCTGGACTCAAGCAAGCACTTGACCGTCGTCGAGTCCACGAGTGTCGCACATTTTGGAATTTGTCACGAGCGACTTGGTGCAGCTCGTGGACGAGGTGGGGCTGTGAAGTAGCAGCAGGCACAGGGGCCGAGTTGCGGTCGTGCGACTCAGACTCAGACTCAGGGGGCTGTGTATTCGTTTCGAGAGGGATGCAGAACGACCCACATAATTCGCAGTCTAGGAGCTGCGGATGGTTCAAGAACGTGCAGACGCGACAGCTCCAGGCATCCGATTGGATGTCGGGCGTCGTCTCATTGGTTGCATGCGTGGAAGAAGGAGGAGTGTGCGTCGTAAGTAGCTCCTCTTGGATGTCGGCGGGCAGCGCAGCGAACACGCTTGGGTCGATGATACTGCTGGACATGCGGAAAGTGGGTGAAATGGTCGCGAGCTGGGTTTTTTGCTGAGTCTGGGAGTGAGAACGGGACTGGCGACGCGAAAGAGAGTCGATGCGACTTTTCGTAGTTGCGGTGATGGTAGGGCTCCAGGTGTTGAAGTGGTCCTGCCTTCGGGCTATAAAAAGCAGCTTGTAAAAAGCATAATTAAATTCTAGCAAATATGCGAGCGAATGTAACCTTTTTCAGAAGTGGGTTCCTGCAGTGTCTTTGCGACCAAGACTTGGGCGATGTAGAAAGGGCAGCCTAAAGAACGAATCAGGACGCACGCACTTCGACATCGAAAAAAGCAAAATTCGTCTCGTCAGTAAATTAATACCTCCAGCCCTGCATGTTCGAATGAATCATAAGAATAAATCCTCTACAGATGTTTATTACAAACATGGTCAATTATCATAACTGGGTAAGTACAACATATCGGACACATCGTCATGAAACTTGCCTTTCGGTAGACAAGGTATCACGGTGAATATATTTATATGACTCGATATCTGGGACAGCTATGTCCATAACGAGCTTATCCATCACCCTCTTTGCCTGCGCTCGAACTACTATGTCCTGCTACTGCCGAGTCCTTCTCTACTCGTTCTTGCAGGTCAGATGTTGTCATTCTGTTTGCAAACATACCACAAGTCCGGGTGTTACTGGTGCTGACTTTTGCAGAAAGGTGATGTGCGTGGCGTTGTGGGTCTTCCTACTGTGAGCAAATGGAGGATGCTCCTGTTTGTGTCCAAGCAGTCCTGTTGTCCCTCCTAGATGCATTCATATGCGGGACGACTTGCCAAGTGTATCAGGAGATACATAGATACAATCGAGCGACTAGAAGGAGCAACAAAGGTGTTTGTGCCGAAAGCACCGGCTGCATGGACGGCTTGTTCCGTAGCCTCGTAGCTCTCTGCACAGACAGACATGCCAAGTTAGCACAAGTGCTGTGAGGTGTTGTTGGTTTGCACGGCACACCGGCTACTTACACGCTACGAAATCATGGCAACGGGAGCTACTACTAATCTGCGACTCGAGCATCTTGGTCTCCCTTTGCCGTTGTATCGGCCCTATCGAGCTCCTCATTCCTTTTCGCTGCAGACTTCATGCCCGTCCACACCGATAGGCATGTGAGGGAAAACGCAATGGCAGCGACTAGGAAAGCCAAATGGATGGGTGGGCCATATACGCGAGAGGACACCTTGGACGATGTGGACTCGACTTGGGCTTTCGTGCACCGAGGACCGACCCATGACCTCGAGTACAAACAGGAACAGCGCGATTTCACGCACGATCCCGTCACCAGCTTTGTGTTCGTGAAGTTGCCGCCGACTGTGCAGTCATTGTCACTTTTGCAAAACGCTTTACCAACTACCTCCGTCACAGGGTTATCATCGTCCTGATACTCGTCAATGTGGCCCTCAATCCATTCCTTGGTAGGGTGACTCGTGGGATTGCAACCAATCTGCATGTAATTGTCCGCGTCAAGATCGTCACCTTGGTCCTGGTACAGCCGAATGTAGTCGATCTTCATGAACATCGGAAACTCATCGCAGATCCGATTCACTGTCTCGTCAGATCCGTCACCACGACAATTCTTGCCAGCATTTGGAGGCTTCGTGCCCCATGAACTCGAAAGCGCGACGTTGAAAATGAGAGACATGGGCTCCTCCAGCATCAGTTTCTTTGGGTTGCTACTGTTTGCATTCTGAGGCACATTCGAGAACGTGTCGGCCGTGACTTCGAACAGCGGACTGCCGTCCAGCATCCACCGCACGTATCCGTTTACGCCAGTGACCCATTCGAGCTGATAAACAAGAAAGTCCGTGTAGGCTCCAAGGTGAACAGGCCAGTTCGACGAAATAGCGTCTATCTGATAGTTGAAGGGGTCCATGGCGTTTGCTTTTGCTGTAGTAGCATTACGTGGACTGGCACATCGCGCGTCCGTGTTGTCCGGATCACAGAGGTAGGCGCCCATGTACGAATTCATGATTGGAAAGCACGTGCCATTGAAGTTGATGCCCCAGTGGTTTTTGCCAGTTCCATCAATCGGACTCAAGTCGCTGTTCACGTCAAGAGAAGCAGGACACGTCGACGTTGTGCAAGTATTCTCCACGATGCCTTTAGCGATGGATGCATTTATGGTGGTGAAGCTCTGGACATTTGCGCGCTTCTTGGCGCAATTATTGTTTGCGGCATACCGAAGACCTTGATACCAAGACTTATGCCCTCGCTTCTGTTTGTAGTACTCTGTCGGAACATCAATCAAATTGGCCCCGACCGTTTTGCAGTCGTACGTGTACACGCAGTATGGATTGGCAGCATCAACGCCATCAGGGTCAGCTTCGAAAAGACGAAAATCGTCGGGCATACCAGGTGCAATCTGCAATGAAGATGAGATAGCAAGACCACCGCCTTCCAGTAAGTCAATCTCAGGGGCTCCTCGGCCTTGATTAGCGTTCAATCCATAGCCTGGGCTATCGTCGCAAGCACTGATGCGCTGGTTGGCTGGATCGAATATATTTGGCTCACACCGATCGTACGAGAAGGGCCACATGCGGTTCGTCGAAGCAGAGAAGATAGCCCGGCCAAGGTTCCCCATCATCCAAATACCTGGCCACGTCGGGTAGTACGCAGTATCGCTCACTTGACCATTCTTTCCGAGTGCTAGGTCTGGATTATTCGAAGCTGTTGAGACTGCACCGGGTAATTGGGCTCGCACCTCGAGCATACCTCCTTGAAAGCAGAACTTGTTCCAAGACTGTACCATGGCTGCACGATAGTAGAACGTGGAGATCTGGTATCCCGGTGGGTGCTTGTACATGTTGTACACTGACGTGTTGATGGTGTCTTCGATTACTTCGATGTACAAGTAGCAGTTGCCATCGTCGTCGCACTTGGTGCCCGTCATATTGTGCGAATAGATTTCGAGAGCTCCATTGACCCCATCCGGTTTCTCAAGCGACGTCCACATGTGATCGTCACCGGGACGAAAGCTTCGATTGGCGACGTTGAACTCGTCACTCATGACAAGCTGCCATAGTCGTCCACGAGAAGTTGCGTACGCTTTCCGATCATCAGGCGTATTAGGATCGACCCAACTGTAAAGCCCCGACTTGGTCGGATACTCGGCCGACCTTGACCTTTTCATGGCCGTGCAAGCCGCGAGAAAGGTCACTGTCCACAATGTACTGACGAAGGCTTTCATCTCGACCGTGAGTCGGAACAAGCGGTCACTGAGGGCGCCCAGTAGTCTCAAGCAAATCTGGAAATGAGGTGGGCCGGTGGTCACTTTTGGAAAGACGTTGCAGCGAGCCGAGATACGTCTTGAACCCAGTTGAGCGACACGACGTTTGCCATTTGCTTCGCACGCGCAGGTGTGCAATATTGCGTGGATCGTAGACAATAACGCCGTACGCAAGAGAATCGCATTGCTGTCAAAGCGACGCACGTATTTCAAAGCTTCTGACTTTCGTCAAACGCTTTTGCTATATCATCAGCAACAACAACGCACACTGGTACTCGCTATTACACGAAATTATGCCTGTAGTTGTCCTTCAGTTGACTAGAAACACTCAAACTGAGGTCTGCGCCCGGAAATTGCAGCTCTGCTGGCCCCGTTTCAACCACAGCAGGCGTAGTCTTTTGCACCTTTCTCGCCGCTTTTGCCGTCACGGACGTAGCTGACCAAACCGACCCGATGGACAATAAGATAACTATGCTTCCTATGCCCAAAGATAGCCCCATCGGTGGACCATATACACGCTTCCTCAGACTGCTTGACTTCTCCGATACGTCCGACATGGCCTCTGTGCAGCGCGGACCGCTCCACGATATCGATGAACAGGCACAACGAGACTCGACGCAAATTCCCGTCCGCAACGTTGGATAGCCTGCTTCGTTGCCAATGGTGCAATCGTCGTTCGTTTTGCAGAACGCTTTGCCGTACACCGTCTTGGCCGGGTTATCGAAGTCTGAGAACTCGTCCATGTGGCCCTCAATCCATTCCCTAGTGGGGTGGCTCTTGGGGTCACAGCCAACCTGCATGAGGCTGTCGTCAGGAAGGTCGTCGCCCAAATCCTGATAAAGGCGAACGTAGTCGACCTTCATGTACATCGGAAAATCGTCGCAAACTCGATTCGTGAGATCGTTCGTCCCGTCGCCTCGGCATTCACTGCCGGGATTGGGAGGCGAAGCACCCCACGAACTCGAAAGCGCCACGTTCATTATAATGTACATGGGCTCTTCTAGCATCACTTTGACCGGGTTCGTCTTGCCCACGTTTTGTGGCACCTTCGTAATCGTATCCGTCGTGACCTCGTAGAGAGGATTGCCATTCAACATCCAACGCACGTAGCCATTCTTGCCCGTGACCCACTCCACTTGGTATACGAGATAGTCGATATAGCCGCCCAAATGAATGGGCCAGTTCGCCGAGATAGCGTCCATCTGATAGTTAAAGGAACTCATGATGTTTGACTTGGGCGTGCTAGAATTGCGAGGCTTAGAGCACATTGTATTCGTGTTGTCCGGATCACACAGATAGGAGCCCATATACGAGTTCATGACGGGATAGCAAGTGCCGTTGGTATTGATGCCCCAGTGGTCCTTGTCGTTGATCAAGCCCGAGTCTCCATTCACATCCATGGACGCTGGACATGTATCTGCCGTGCACGTGTTGTCAGTAATACCGGCGGTGACGGACTTGTTGACAGTCATGAAGTCCTGCTTGGCACTTGCGTCCGGCTGACAGTCGTTGTTTGCGCCGTAACGGAGACCCTGATACCACGACTTGTGTCCGCGCGATTTCTCAAAGTAGGCAGCGGGTACGTCAATAAAATTCGCCCCTATCGTCTTGCAGTCGCTGGAAAACACACAGAACGGTTTGGCGGCATCAGCGCCACCAGCATCTGCAGGGAAGAGACGAAAGTCAGATGGCATGCCCGGAGCAACTTGCAGCGAAGAGGAGACGGCCAAGCCACCCCCTTCCAGCAGATCGATTTCAGGCGCCCCACGGCCTTGATTGGGGTTGAGGCCATAGCCAGGGTCGTCGTCACAAGCACTTATCCGCTGGTTGTCGGGGTTGAACACGTCTGGCTCACATCGATTGTAGGAAAACGGCCACATGCGGTTCGTCGAAGCAGAAAAGATGGCTCGACCGAGATTTCCCATCATCCAAATGCCAGGCCATGTTGGGTAGTACTCCTTCGTGGCCACTTTGCCAGACTTACCCAGCGCTAGATCCGGATTGCCCGATTTCTTCGAGACTGCCGCTGGAAGCTGAGCGCGCACCTCGAGCATACCGCCTTGGAAGCAAAACTTGTTCCAGCTCTGCACCATTGCCGCACGATAGTGAAACTTGACGTCCTGGTATCCGGGAGGAGCTTTATACATGTTGTAAACCGAGATCGTCTTTAGTTCATCCAGCACCTTTATGTAAAAGTAGCACGTGTCGCCGTCGCACTTGGTTGACGTCATGTCGTGTGCGTAGACCTCCAAGGCACCATTCACGCCATCGGGTTTATCCAGCGAAGTCCACAAGTGATCGTCACCTGGACGAAAGCTGCGGTTGGCCACGTTGAACTCGTCACTCATGACGAGGTCCCATTTTCGACCTCGCGAGCTCATAAAACTTTGTCGGTCCTCGGGAGTGCTTGGGTCGACCCAATCCTTGATCCCTGACTTGGTCGGGTGTGACAACGTCGATGAGCTACTCTTGCCCATGACGCCCGCAATGTACGCTAGGACCGCACATGGAGCTATGGCGAAACGAATTCTCCGACGCGTGCTGAGCATTGTGCACCGACAGAGCGAATCGGAGAATGAGGAGCTGGAGGCTGAAAAATTGCTCTGCACACACCGTGAGCGAGTTGGTGTCACAGCTGATCGACCACCATGCTAACACCAAAACTTCTGTTCACTGGCACGTGCCGTGTCTCTTCCATTATTAGCACATGCATCTGTATGACCCTTGTCAAGGCAGTTGGTAACGTCGATGGCACGGAAACCGTTTGCAAGAATCGAACATGAATAGCAGCAACGCGACTCGCAAACATCCACAAGCGCTCAGTACTTCCTACGCTCGAAACCAACGCTGTCTCCTTGTTTTTACGCCCACGACGCGCCCTACATCCAGCGAAACTGCATCGCGGTTCACGATGACTTACTTTGGAAACAGCCCTCGGGTCAGCAGGCAGCAGGCAACCCACGTTATTGCAGTTGTTGTGCTTCTTGTCGCAACGAAAACTCAGTCCATCATTGGCTCACCTGGCACAACGAAGCCCCACACACCTCATCGAGAGCTGACGCACTTCTTCGATCGCTTCTTCGTGTGCTTACTGTCTAGCATCATTCGGCAGCAGTCTGCTTTGTCGCAAATGGTCGTTCAGTTGGCGTTAATGTTCTGCGGTCAGTGTCAATGTGTGCTCTTCTCTTTCTACAAGTCGTTTTGCGCCGCTTGTAAAGTATGGTTGAAGGCCATGGTTTGCATCCATGTCTCTGCCCTCGGTAGCGTCGATGTATACGATCCATCAGCGTGTTACATACCCTACGAGCACCTCATCACTGTCCATACCATCAGCGCCAACTTAGTTCCTGCACGGGCCAACTTACTGCCGCGCAGCTGCAAGGCGACCATTCATGCCGAGCCATTATCTACTGAAGCTGTACATTATGTCAGTCGTGAGAGCGTTCCCAGAGCAAATTCCTATTCATGGCATACACATGTGATGCGAAGAGACCCTAATCGATCAACAAGAGCGCTCGCTTCGCTTTCGGCAGGACAAGCACAGATGTTTGATAAGACTCGAGAGCGTTTTCTGCAGATTGAGCGTGGGCGATTTGCTTGCATGTGTGCCGAGGCTCTCGTCAAGCCCGTCGTTCAGTAGACGCCGTCTTCCATAAACGCTGAACGCCGGTCAGGTTTCTCCGAAGAAGATGATGATGCTGCACAACCACTATTCGTGGCTCGAGATTCGTAGCATCAAGCGTCAAGCACTGGATACCTACCTGCCTTGCTACTTCTTCGCACAGTCATTGCTGACCTCAGCCAGAAACCCGTATCTTTCACGACAGCCTGTTGGTTGATGGAATCAGCGTTTCCTTTGTCGCTGGCACAGATGACGCCGAGTCACATGAAGTCAGGCGAGTTGTACACATCGTGTTTTGAGTCCATCTCTCTCTTTGTAGTCGAGTCCATAAAGGAGGAGATACGCTAGACAAAGTTCTGGCTATAGTTGTCCTTTGGTCTTTGGTTCGTAGAGTAAGTTAGGCTGTTGCCGTCGTCGATGCTGCCAGTCACTTTTGTCTGGACGTTCGACTTTCTTAACGCTGCAGCCTCTTTCTCCATCGAGACCATGGACATGTAGACGGACACGATCGACAGGAACACGATGACTGCGGCAACGCTCATGGATAGACTCATGGGCGGTCCATACGCTCTTTGAGACAGGTTGGCAGTGCTGGTGCTTGTCGACCCTGATAGGGCTGTGGTGCAACGTGGGCCACCCCACGACGTCGAGTGCGTGCACTGGCATCGCCCCTTGACGCACTTCCCCGTCTTCAACGCTGCCGTACCGACGCTGCTACCAATCGTGCAGTCGTCGTCGCTAGTGCAGGAGGCTTTGCCCGACACCTCTCTCCATGGATTGTCTTCGTCGACGTACTCGTCGATGTGTTCGTCAATCCACGTCTTGGTCGGGTGAGTCGCTGGGTCGCACCCGACTTGCATGTAGCTATCCTTGTCGAGATCCTTGCCTTGATCTTGGTACAAACGGATGTAGTCGATCTTCATGAACATTGGAAACGAGTCGCAAATCGCATTCGTCACGGGGTCCTTCCCATTACCACGGCATTCCTTGCCTGGATTTGGAGGCGTAGTGCCCCATGAACTTGACAGTGCGACGTTGTAGATCAAGTACATAGGCTCCTCCAACATCGTCTTCTGCGGATTGTTCTTCTTGCTATTTTGCGGCACATTCGAGAGCGACTCCGTTGTCACCTCAAAGAGTGCGTTCCCGTCCAGCATCCAGCGCACGTAGCCATTCTTGCCCGTCACCCATTCTAGCTGGTACTTGAGGTAGCCAAGGTAGCCGCCCAGGTGAATGGGCCAATTTGAAGAGATCGCATCCATCTGGTAGTTGAACCCACTCATCGAACTCGACTTTGGCGTCGTGGCGTTCCGAGGGGTCATGCACATTGAGTTGGTATTATCTGGATCACAGAGATACGCTCCCATGTACGAGTTTATGAGCGGGTAGCACGTTCCATTCGTGTTGATACCCCAATGGGAAGTCTTGCTGTCGTCCATGAAGCCCAAGTCGCCATTTACATCAGCAGATGCTGGACACGTATCGACGCCACACGTGTTCTTCGTAACACCAGCCTTTACGGACGCAGCGACGGTGTCATAGTCCTGCTTTGCCTTAGGATCTGGTCGACAGTAATTGTTGGCGCCGTAGCGAAGACCTTGATACCACGACTTGTGTCCCCGTTTTTTTTTGTAGTGGGATGCAGGTACGTCAATCAAATTAGCACCGGGTGTCATGCAGCTGTACTTGTAGACGCAGAACGGGTCAGCTGCATCAGCTCCTCCAGCATCTGCAGGGAAGAGACGAAAGTCGGTAGGCATACCCGGAGCAATCTGAAGTGACGACGAGATAGCCAAGCCGCCCCCTTCCAGCAGGTCAATCTCAGGAGCACCTCGACCTTGATTGGGGTTCAACCCGTACCCAGGGTTGTCGTTGCAGGCACTGATCCGCTGGTTTTCAGGATTGAACACGTCTGGCTCACACTTGTCGTACGAATATGGCCACATTCGGTTTGTCGACGCCGAGAAAATGGCGCGGCCTAGGTTTCCCATCATCCAGATACCTGGCCACGTCGGGTAAAACTCCGTCGTCTTGACTTGACCGGATTCACCGAGTGCCAGATCGGGGTTACCAGACTCTTTTGAAACAGCCCCAGGCAGCTGAGCCCGCACCTCTAGCATGCCGCCTTGGAAACAAAACTTGTTCCACGATTGCACCATCGCAGCCCGGTAGTAGAAGTACGCGTTCTCGTACCCTGGAGGGTGCGTGTACATGTTATAGACCTTGAACACGTTCACTTCGTCAGTGATCTTAATGTAGAAGTAGCAAGTGCCATCACTGTCACACTTGGTACTCGTCATATTGTGCGAGTAGATCTCGAGCGCCCCGTTGACGCCGTCAGGTTTTTCGAGCGAAGTCCAAATGTGATCGTCACCCGGTCGAAAGCTTCGGTTGGCAACGTTATACTCGTCACTCATGACGAGATCCCATTTCCGTCCACGTGAGCTGACGTACTCGTGTCGTTCCGCTGGGGTTTCAGGATCCACCCAGATTTTGATCCCCGACTTGGTCGGGTACGTGGCCCCTGTGAAGTCTTTTTTGGCGGCGAGAACGGTCGACAGCGTCGCAGTCGAGCACAGTATCGACCACTTCATGGAAGCCGCGAGGGGTATGCAGAGAGAGCGAATGTTTGTACAAGTTTCGATGCAAAGTCCGTCGTTGGAATACACTTCGTCACGTGTTTTTCGGATAAGCGATGCGTAACACCCCGGACCGCAAAGTCGGGCTAACGTAGTGGAGCAATATGCAAAAGATCGCGTGAGCTTCACGCAGCTTCTTCGCAAGTGATATTTTCAATGGAAAGAAAGAACTTGCTCGCTGAACCATTGAGTTACCGCGACGAGCGCGCGAGCAGCACGCACGCCATCCCGCTTGTCTGCGCTCTGTTCGTGAGGTTGTTACGCACGTTAACTCCATAAGCCCTTCTTCATACTGACTACGACTTGTGGCGGTGTGAGTTGCGGTCTCTTTCGACAGCAACGACGTTGCGGTACAGAGGGTAGACGCTGTCGATGGCCGACACTGAACGTTTGCATGGAATATTCAGGTGTTGCGAATGCCGACAGACAGAGGGACTGGTACGTGCTTCCGCAACGCATCTCGAAATTTCGATACAAAATGACAGTTCTTGCCTCACGACCAGCAAAGATGGCGACATGCTGGCTCTCGTATCTTTTTGCGGTAAGACAGAGCAGAACGTCTTTGCGCAGCTCACTCTCCTTCGTCTGCGTTGACGAACAAACGAACGCACACTCTCTTCTCTCTACATGATATACTGCAGTATGGTAAAGTAAGTAGTTCAGGTCAAGTCTTGTCGTGGCTTCGTGTCCTTTTGTGCGCAGTCGTCATCAGAGCGCGACTGATCAGAGTGTGGCCAAAGAAGGGCAATGATAGCCGTGCGACAGAAAGTGCGCTGACCACTCTTGCTGAAGTAACATCCTGTGCACACCTGCCACTGAGTCATGGAAGCGTTAAGACCAGTCAGAACACTCAATCGGCTCATCCGTCACAAACGTGCTACTTTTCGGTCGTTTAAGCCTTGGAAAGGTAGGGCTGGTAAATGAACATCATTATGCTCCTGTTTCTTTGCAACTGGTCGACCTAAAAGGGTCTCATTCGGTAAACTCAGACAACGCCCATGATCGAAAGGTTTGCGTGCGACAGCACTCGTACAAGTCCTGAAGCCTGGCCGACGAAGGACACAACTGACTCAGCTGTCCTAATCATCACGAACAGTACCAAGCCTTCATTGTGTTCGACGGAGAGCATGAGTAGCTTTAGCTTGTGTATTCCGCGCTCAGAAGTGGTCGCGATCACAAGAGCAAACGAAAGCTCGCATAGGATGTCACGAAAGACGCACGTTGTAGGATCCCTTTCGACAAGTGCGCATCCACTTGAAGGAACGATGGAGCAAAACGTGCAATACATGTACTCCTGGCAAACCCAAAAGCGTCCAGCTGAAACAGGAATATGTGCGCTACGAACACAGCTCGATAGGTAGGCATTTTGTAATGACAGCTTTGATGGGCTTTGCATCATAGTGTGTCTTGGCAACGAACCAATTCGACTAGCAGACACTTTTTTCGACAACGAAACTCATTCTCTTCCGTCTGTTGTGCGAGTCAATCGCTTTTGCATTCTCTGTACGAACTCGCCCTTACATACGTAGGACCTTCACATTTGCACGAGAGCGGAGCACGCTGAATAAATAGGCTAGTTACCATGGACCAACGAGCGGTATTGACACCGACGCATCGACGCGAGAGCATTTTCGATGCAGGGGTCGGCAACAACGATCCGTGTCATCCATTCGTATGTGAATGGATACACCCCCATTGCTACATGCCGATACGACATGTACGGTGGCTCATGGGCCAGCTGCGGTACTTACATGCACGTTGAAGCTACTGCAGTTATGGGGAGCTCTCAGTCAAGGTGCATATATACTGAGAGCGCAGCAAGTGGCGATGTGAGCACCAACGATAAATGCCGAAGGCTGCTGTTTGTCTGCACTGGACGCTTACGGCGCGTACGGGTGCCACGCGTCCTCTCTGATTTCATGGCCACGTGACGAACGCAGAGGGCTCATGGTATCTATACAGCTGTGGCTTCTCAGACACCCCGCCATGTCTCGTCCTTCAAGTGTTCAACACTGAGCCCGTGCATATTTGCGTATGGAACGTTGACTTAGTCGATCGAGCACGCGCGCAGACTGAATGTGTGAGCTAACGCTGGCCAAAAAGCGTCTCGCGTGACGCTTTAGTACACCGGTGAATCAGCGCAGGTACTGTGAAGCGTGTTCCTGTCCTTGTATATGTAGTTTGCACACTTTGATCCGCCTCCGATCCGTAGGTGGTCCCTAGATTGTTGCCCGTGTACATCCCGGCTAGCGTCGTTTCCGGAAGGATGTTCTAGACGCTCACGTAAAGCATCGGTCGCGATCGTGGGCGACCCTCTACAGACGCCTCGTCGGAACGCATCTCGTTGCCAATCGTTGGCGACACAAGGGCGCTGTCACTATACTTTCGGCAAACAAGTGCTAGTTGCCAGTGCAATTGCCACGAGTTACATGTGCACTCATCCCGACAAAACGCTATGTTGCGAGTGCCTCCTGAATGTGTTTGCGTCAGTCTTAGCGACCGTTAGCCCGCGATCGTACTTGCTTGTCAACTTGACAACATGCCATCATTTGAATACCATAACCCGTCCAAGATCAGCTTCGCGCATCGAAACGTACCAGAGACGCACCGCAGTCTCCTTTCCCTCTGCAATGCTACAAAGTCGTTGCGATCGTTTCTAAAAGCACACTTCGATGCTTATCGGACCGTCTATCACGCACTTAGAAACAGCTACTTCACAAACCGGGTCCCACGTGCTCGAACTGTACCCATGTCATCCTCCCACGTGTAACGAACGATCAATTGGATGAGCTGAATGACATCAGTCGGATGATATCAGCCAATCCGAAGGCACCATTTGTGGTATAGGCGACAGCGTCGCACAGGCATTCCAAGATGTCGGGTGTCGAGCAGCCACTGCTGTCCGTGGCCTCAGGTAGCAGCTCTGCGTCGCGCCAGACGCGCCAGACCGACCGCACTCGTTTCTTGGACCGCCAGGGTCGCTTCAACCAGTCACATGGTCGTTTTAAGTACGAAAAAAGATGTGTTTTGTATCGTTGCTTTCGATGGGAAAAGTACTGAATTAACCATCTAAATAACGTTCCTCCAGCGTCTACCGAAAAGGGGGCCATTGGCGCAGAATCTACTGGGACGATCCGTTCCACACTGTTATCAATACGCGCACGTCGAGGATCATCGTGGGCGTCCTTGGAATAGTTGCGTGATGTGTTTTTTTTCGTCGGGTGCTAAAAAGTATGACGTTTTTCGTGCGGCTTTTGATTCCTTACGTGATGGGTATTTTACTGCAACGCGTCGTTTGTTGCAGTATTTTATCATCATCTTTCTCTTCGCACTAGCATATCTGGACGTCTCAATGCGATACCCAATATGCCATGTGGGGCTGTCGAGTATTATGGACGCTTACGTGTTCTCGCTCGAAACAATTGTGAGTGTTGCAATATTTATTTTTATCTTTCGATACAGACTCCGAGTTAACTATCATTCGTTCTTAGATGACCATTGGCTACGGTGCACCAACCAACGACATATTCTACGGAGGATGCTCGTCGATCGCTACATTGCTGACACTTGAGGCAAGTCTGACCCATTTGTGCTGATTTTTTGGATTTTACGCACTCGACTGACACTTGCGGCGAATTGCAGTCGTTTGCCGGTATTATTCTGGATTCCATCTGTATTGGCATTTTCTACGCGCGATTTGCGCGTGCCAATGTGCGTTCGCTGCATCGATGACGCATATGTCCTTCTGCTTGTTGATACAACGACATCTTGTTCTTTCGTACTTGTAGCAACGGGCGAACACTATCATGTTTTCGACTTCAGCAGTGATTCGCAAGATCCGCGGACACTACTATTTCATGTTTCAGACCTGCGAGCGACGAAAGCATCAGCTTGTGGAGGCGCACGTGCGTCTGTATGCTGTACGACATGAGGTGGAAGACGAGATGAACGGGCCGAGCGACTTTCTGTTCCAGTGCCACCAGATGCGGGTTCAGCAGCCTGACGACGATTGCGGCGCGATGTTACTCATGGTGCTACCTCAAGTTGTTGTGCATCGTATTGACCAGTGGAGCCCGCTTTTCCCGCCAGAATGTCTGCCATCTGACGGTGGAGACCCGAAAACCTGTGCGAGGTACCCGGATCCGACACAACGGCAGGTGGATATTGATAACGGAAACCGTGAAGGTGGCTTACCTGGCGAAGCAAAGTTATACAAAGCGCCTACCAAATTGCAGATCATGAACCATCTCTGCAAAAGCAAGCTTGAGGTTGTCGTGATTTTGGAAGGAATCGACAGCTCGACTTCCAATACAATGCAGGCGCGCTACTCGTACGTGGACGACGATATTGCGTGGGATGCTACTTTTGAACGGTGTGTAGTCACGACCTCAAGAGGCCTATGTGTCGACTTTGATCGCTTTCATCTGTTGAAACCTGCACCGCTGGACACACAACGTTGCGTCATGACGTCCCAGTTTTGAGAAAGCATCCGCGTCACTCTGAACATTCGACCGACTGCTCGCTGCGATTGCTGCATTGAGGTCCTGTGAATGAGTAATGATGACAACCGCAGGTTCACCAAACTTTGCTCAACAATTGACTGTCGGCTGGTCGTTGCTGTGGAGTATCCTACAATACGTTCGATGCCAGCTTATGACAAGTTTGTTACATTTAGACCTCTGGGTTGTCCGAGGTCCAACTTGAGGTTTCAATGCTTTGGTTCGTAATGGCTAACGTAGATCAACAGTGGTGACGACTGTGACTTCTTGTCGTTTATAAAGAATGTGCGTTTTTTGTAGATCTCACCCGTACTGGTGAACTGCAAGTCGCTACGATGAGGACTTGTCGGGAGAAATGTGTATGCGGGCGCTAAAAAAAAACGCTGTACGGCACTACTGATCTTCGTCTAAGCACATTATTTAGATCGCAATCCGAGCCCGAGCCATCTGTAACCTCGATACACATTAGCGCGTTCATCACGTTCATGTCAGTAGCTCACTTCCAAATACGTTTCGTACGCATCAGCATGTTCTTGTCATCGACAGAAACAAAGTTGGGCTAGTACGTCATTGTTGCCAATCTTAATCCGGACGAGTACGATTCGTTTTGCAAAGACGCCGTGGAAACGATGTCGCTTTTCGGCTGGTACAAATATCGTCTAACTAGTAGTAGTGGGGTAAAATGGCGCAGTCTCTTCTCGGACAACATTTCGTATCGAGCACGGAGAGTGTATAGCTCTGTGCGAAAGTCAAGAGTTTGGCGTGGCCGGACTGTAACGGGGTGAGCCTGTTACATAGTCCCCCAGTGCCCTGATACACGAACCATGCTATGTACACTCAGCGACAAGATTGCTTACGCTTAGGCGTGTGAACATGATCCCCATTTGCCAAGCTTACTTGCAAAATGCGGAAGGGAAAAGGTAGTTTTGATAGTGCAGATACGACGAGAATTGTTTCTCTACTGTACGAATTACGCTGAGTGCCTTGTGATGACTATTGCGTCAGTTTAATATATATGTTATCGACACCTTCTCGTTGACCAAAAGTACAGGATGACTGCATACATAATCGATTCTGTAGATACAATTCTTGGTAAGCAGAAGAGACTCACACTATGGTACCATTGCACTTCACATCTTTTGGTCTTAATGGAGAGTACCGCAATCGTAGCGTGGACTTCTTTTAATATGACAGCGCAGTGCTTGCAAGTGCTCATTCTGGACAGAGCGACATACGCTCGAACAAATCATTATAGGCCGGATCACCAATGCTCATCACATGCGAGTGGTACATCAGCTGCGTTGGCGTGTTCTTCGTATCGCTATGGACTGCGTGCTTCCGCAACGATAATGACACACAAAAGAAGGGCTGTAGGCAGGCGACAAAGCTGCCGCGATCGTACGGAAGTTGCTTTGGTGATCCGAATCCTGACAACAAATTGCGTATTGTATTTTCTAGTTGCGCCGTAGACTGTCTGCGACGCTGTTACATCGTACATTTTTTGCTTTCCTGTATGCAACTCGTTCGCGAACGCTAGATGTACGTCAAGCTTACCAGATGCGCAGCGCCTCGTTAGCGAAGCGGTGTACTGTAAGCGACACAGCACAAACCGTTTAGAATGAAGGCGGGAGGTAACTTGGCTGTTTTATCATTGCAGATCTAAGGTTTTACGGACCTGGTCTTTCCGTCATCAAGGCAAGAAAAGCAGTGAAGCGTCCATGGTGCGAACTTCGATCCTCTGGCCAGTTTGACGTAGACACTGTAGGAAAGCGAGGGATTTGCTATTAGGTGGGTTGGGGATTCGGCGCGGTGTTTCGATTAGCGTCATCTGTTAGTTAAGAAGAGGGCAGCGTAGCTGCTTGTCAAGATGAGTGGTGAGGATAGCATTGAAGGAAAGAGCGGTAAAAGAGAAGACATATAGTTTGAATACAGAATCTTATCGTCTTCCTACTGCAACATGCATACTTGCCCACAGACACTACGTGAGCCATGGCGCAAGGTGCCAAGCCTGCCAGTATGCGCAGACTGTGTCGTGTGTTTGCGGTCTTCTGCGTCCTTTAATTGGCTTGCCAATCGACAGTAAACAAGTGTGTTCTATAGCTTGATATTGCAACTCACTTGTTCATCGAGGCCACGCCTACCCACATTCGTGCATAGTCACACGGGCAAGACGACCGCATCCGTTGCTTCCAGCATTTCAAGTCGGATGATATAGTGGTCGACGCAGCGTCCCACAAAGACTAGAAGAGGGAGAAGTGGGTGTTTAAGAAGATTTGAAAGACCCTAGGATTGGTCGGTCACGAAGTAGGAAGTGGCGTTGCGACCAATGTTGTAGATGTCGTCCATAGCGCGAGTCCCGTTCTACATTGCGGCATAAGATTTGACCAAACGCTCATCGAAAGCCAAGCCCCAGATCGTGCCCTGATTCGCGTCTGTATTATAGACTAGCGAGAACGTCGCCAAAACGAGAAACCTATGGACGCGTTAGCACTCGCAAGCTTCGAGATAGTAATGAAACTCATTAGGCGCTACGCAAGATGCAAGCCAGAAAAGAAGAGGTGATCGAAGCCTTGCTGTATCAAGGTCCGCTAAATGTGGTGCAGATACCGATATAGCTTCATGGGTGAATGTCGAGAAACGTGGTGAGAGACTCACCGTTTGATTATTCTTCGCTCACAAGAGACCCAAATCTCACACGTATCGTCAGTGTCTTTGAGCTATCGGTGGCATTCTATCGAGCATCAGTTGAAGAGGATAAAAGTGAGCGACGGCATGTGGACGCTTTGCTTCTTGTGCACAAAGAAAACCAAAGCAATGTTGGCTTTCGCAACAGTCGGGGCAAGAAAAAATGCGCTCGGGTGAATACTGAGGCGCAGTTGGAAAAGACAATGCACGCAAAACACCTGCCGAACGGCAAGGACGAGCAGCATGAAACTACAAGACAGCAGAATCGAAACTGGAACGCACACAAAACTTGCAGCGCACAGGAACGTTTTGTGTTTCATGGATTTCTTGCAAAGGGAGTGGCTTGCACCGAGCCGGAAATCGACTGTGGCATTCCTATATTCTACGGAGATTGGCAGGAATTGGACGATCCCACAAAGTCTCGGGATCAAATTCATTGACGACTATTTCCAGAAGTACGTTCGCACTTGATTGCGTTAGATGCCGTCCACACGCTTCGTGTACGTGCTGTCTCCAGCCAAGACACTGGACCTATCGCCCTCGTGCGTCTTGCAATGCTCCCAGCCTCGTCTTCTCTCGCATGCGCACGAATTGATAAAGCAGCTGCGCAGGTTGTCGCAGAAAGAGGTCAAGTCCTCATTAGGAGTCAGCGACGCCTTGGGCAAACTCAATTTTGACAGGTTCCAAGTCTTTGACACGTCAAAAACCGCTACAGAGGCTTCAAAGCCGAGCAAACCCCTGAAACAGGCAGCACTGGCTTTTCACGGTCCAGCATATCAAGGTTTGGAGCTCCACGATTTATCAGAGTCGGATCTCGCGTTTGCCCAGACCCATCTTCGCATTTTGAGCGGACTTTACGGGATCCTGAGACCATGTGACTTGATCCAGCCATATCGGTTGGAAATGGGTCAAAAGCTCGTCAACAGCCGAGGTAGAGACTTGTATGAGTTCTGGGGAGACACCATTGTATCTGAGTTGGATGCCCTCTTCTACAAAGAAGAGACCAAAGACAACGCCATCAAGCAACAACGGGTGCTGATCAACGTTGCGTCGCAAGAGTATTTCAAGAGTTTACCGACTTCGGCGTTAAAAGCGGCTGGTATTTCGGTTGTCGAGTGTGTGTTCAAAGATGATGGAAAGATCAAGTCAGTGTACGCCAAACGCGCTCGAGGGCTCATGTGCCGCTATCTCATTCAGAAACGCGTGGATTCGCTGGACGGGATAACGGGCTTTGACTTGGAAGGATACAGGTACTCGAAATCAGCTTCACGTGACGATAAGCTTGTGTTTACTCGCACGGCTGCAGAACAGAAAGCAGCACTACAGCAGACAAAAGAAGCGAAGGCAAAGACTGGTCCCAAAGCGAGGGTAAAGTCCGACGGGACCAAGCGAACGGGCGAAAATCAGTCGATGCTTGAGGTCTCGACTGAAAATGACGACACCGGAAACTCCCGCTTGCGTCGCTCTTCACGCAAGAAACGCAAAACGAACTAACGGCTACTGGCAGGATGCTGCCCGACAAGCACGTCTCCAGTCGGTGAGAGCAGATGCGTGTCTACAACACGATACACCGAGCAAGCGGTTGTCGCGCGTCAACTATACCGCTCCCATACGTATCTCAAATGCAATGTCCCACATGTTTTTCGCTCGCTCAGCGCCCCATATAGCGCCCAGCAAGATTGTCCACAACCAAGGTCGAAGCTGACACGTAAATGACCTTGCAAGTAACATCGACCGTCAGCTTGCATGAGGACACGAAGTCTACACCTTGCGTCGTGAACAAGATGTCGGTCAACAGCGCGAGGAGCAACTCGCGCCGTAACACACAACTGGTGGACGAACAACGGCTCGGCGGTGCCAGTGCCATTGAGCCCACTTCTTGCGTTGTGTTTACATCGGCACTCGGCCACCTTGTGTATCGAGGCGAACACAAACTGAAGCACAAGTCGCACAGTGAATGCGGCTCTCCGCCACACGCAAAAAAGCCGCCTGTAGTCTCCCATTGCTGACTCCACAGCCAAATCGACATCACACACAGCTTCCACAATGGCGTCCGCGATTCCGCGAGCATCGAGTCCGTATCAGTAGACACAAAAAGAACCAGCAGCTTCCGGTACGTCTTTCCTCCTTTCCGGGCCGAAACTGGAGCAACAAGTTCGAAAGTCGGTCTAGGGCCAACGTCGCAGTTACAGAGCTAGAGCATCCAATGATCGAGAAATGTCCGATCTGCTACACGCATCTCTAGTCTCCACGCTGTCAACTCCATCGCCTAACTGCAAATCATAGATCTGGCCAACACCAAATGACCTGTTAGTACGAACGTACAAATAGTGTTGCAACAGGTCTCTGCCTTCGACGGCGTCGCTACGACGTACAATGTATCCAACGAGTATTCTCAAATGCAACATATAAAACGGACGTGTCGTACCTAAAAGTGTACGAACGCATATAGCCTGCTTCATTTCCTCACTATTCAGACGAAAAGGTTGAGTGATGGACAGCGTACTTGTTTAACGCCAGACTTGCTTCGTTGCTGCCAATGATACTCGTGAAAGCGCCAGCTATTCATTCGCACTGTTGGGCTGCTATAAGAAAATACCTGGCATCTCCATCGTGCCAAGCGCTTCAAATGTATACCGTAGAGTCGACACTCTACGGTCGGACGCAGCTCGTCTCCCTGGAGCCTCATGTCCACGAAAAAAAGCTTGCAGTATGCAAACGTCGACAACACCAACATGCTGCTTCTCTGCATAGTACTATGCCTGTCTTGTCGAAAGATACGCGTGCTTGTGATCTGCTTCTGGAATGCAGATACGCTAAATAATACCCCTTGTCCACAATTTAAGTAAGCTATACCGCTCGCCATTGGCCTCCCTGGCAGCTCCTATCCAGTGCCAACATCGACAGCGGTAGTAGAGTCACCGCACTGAGAAATACCCGATGGACTTCCTTCTGTGTGATCACAATCTTCCTGTGCTGCATTCATTTCATCTGCGGAGACGTCATCGACTGCAACATACGTCCAGACGTCGAGATTTTAAATACCTTGCCAGAGTCCAAATCGGTCACCGTCATGGGTGGCAATATCGCGCAAGGCTTCTTCTTCACTATACGATCCGGCGAAGTTCTACTGCCTAACGTCGCAAAACCATTGCCTACTTTCGAGTACCCGAGCTTCAGTCGACGGCGGTGTGCGTTGCGAAGCTTGAGCAATACAGGGTGACTGCACAGCTCCAGCACTTCGCAAACATTTGTGACCAGGTCTTCGGGCGACAAATGCGCTAGTGACCGTCCCACCGCAGCGCTCACTAGCTCGGCGCTTTTGCTAACAGCATCGCCACATCCAGCCAGCGCAAGAACATCGTCTTCAGCGGCGCTACACAGCGCCAACGCTACGCAAAACATGCCTTCAAGTCCCAACAGAAGACACACGTCCCAACAACACATCAGTGTGTCAAACCGCAGCTGGGAGTGTGATGCTGTCAACGTCACGTCTGAAAAGAGCGTTGGAAACCACTTGTACGCCAGCAAGCACACGGGCAATCCCGCTTGTTCAAGCGCTGCGTGGAAGCACGGCAGATGCAGTCCAACCACTTCTTGCAAAACATCACCGACTTCAACAAGCGACCGAAATAGGTCAAAGTGGTCGCGCCCAGTACCATCACAGCAAATGCCGAACACGTGCGGCAGGATCCGAGCAACAACACCACGAAGAAAGCGAAAGGCTTCGACCTCGTCGCTCTCCAACACTTCCAGTAAGATGAAAGCAAGTCCATTCATTCCCTGCATGTAAAAACACGGAGACGATGACGACGATCGAGTAGACGAGGGCGATAGCGGACACTCGTCAGTTCGCACATCCAGCGAGCAGCTTGACAAGAAAGCATGCAATACACGCCCCAAGCTGCCCAGCCGAAGAGCACGTTCGCCATCGTCAAGCTTCGGTGCACCTTCTGAGCCAGCCAGCCACTTTGCAGTCCTCGGAATGTCTTTTTGCACTTGCGAATCATCGCTGAAAAAGTAGACAAAAAACAAACACAACAACTAACGGTGTCAGCGAATAGTCGTGAACAGTCTCAAGATATCGCAAAGCGTACTCTTCAGAAAGCGGTGTGTCAAGCAGCTGCTGGAACACCTCCTTCTGCTCGTCAAGTGCACGCACAGGATCCAGCGCCCACTGGAAAATTTGCTGCCAGTACTTGGAGCGCAAACTCGTGTTCTTCTGTATCAGCTGCAGAGCTTCAATAAACCGTCCGCTGGACTGCAGTACCTGCAGCATTTCCATGAGTTCACTTCCCGGTAAGTACGCCGCCGACTGCGTCGCACTTTTCCAATCTTCTGCCGACGGCAGCAACGATGGAACTTGTGCGGACTCCAAGCCACGTCCAACTCGTACTGCATCTTTTGCTTCGTCCTGGCCACTGCACGGAGCACTAGCACCGTCACGGTCGTCGATATCAGCAAACACGTGCTCCACGCGTCGCATGTTTAGTGCACTCTGCAGCTGCAGCGTATCGACGTCAAAAGACTCGCGTGCAGATGCGACGCCCGGCACAACGCCTTCGGCGATCGCTATCGCGCGTTGCACTGCGTCAATCCACGCTCGTCGATCCGACTCGGACGTTGCTTGGAAGATCAGCGAGTGCGCGTCGACCGTCACGAGGAAACAAAACTGCCGCTCGGCGTTGCGGTCGGGCACCGACTGCACAGCACTGCGACTGCTGAGCAGCAACACGCGCTTCACCGTCTTGTGCGAAGCGCTTGCGATCGACCGGGTCCGGCGCTTCTCCGTTGCTCTTGCCGAAGTCGGTGCTGTCACGTTCACTTGGCACGTCAATACGTTGCCCGCCAAGTGGACAACGTGCTCGGTCCAGTCCTTTCTGTTGCAGCTGGAAGTTCGGTACCGCGACGCCAGTGCCTTGAGCTGCGTCAATGGACTCGTCGATACCTTTGCATAGAGCACGCCGGACTTGGCGGGGGCGCGGACAAACCGAAGCGATACCGGTAATGAACCGGTAGATTCCAGCAGCAACTTGCGCACGTCGCGGGACGGCAACGTGTGCAATAGGACGCCGTTTGCGCTCACGAGCAAAGACCCGCTGGGGACGTGCACACCAGCGACGCAGACGCTTTGTGACGTCTTGACGCAGCTCTCGTGGATCCACTCGTAGACCGAGCTCAAGCGCGCCATGTCCGCGCGTTGCGGCCTTTCTACTTCCACGACGTCGCTTGCCATTAGTGGCTCAGTGACGGGCGTCGCGTTGCTAATTCGATGGTTCCAGCCAATCGGACTCGGCGGTTGCTGGCGAGGAGCAACGACCGCGTTGCGCGCAGCTGCGTGCAATGCTGTGATCCACTGACGCAAGTCGTCCGCTTGACGCGCACTAAGAACGACTTTGATTGCCGCACAAGTTGCAGTTGCCGTTGCCGTTGCAGTTGCAGTTGCCGAAGAGGAAGTCAAGGCCGAGGATGACGTCATCTGCGACACGAGCGTCACTTGAAACGCGTGCTGTTTGCCGACAAGAGGAAAGGGCAACGTCTTGACACTGGCGCCCCGCACGTCCAGTTCTCGACGCAGCGTGACCCCAGTCGTGGTGCTGAGACTGGTGCGGTCGCGGGTAGGGGACGGGGCAGACGAGGAGGTGGACGACGCGCCAGACGACGCGCGACGCGTACGCGTCATGCGATTACTGCTTGTGTCGACTGTGTGCTCCCGCAGCGTCCCCGTCATCGGCGACAGGACAAAGTAGCGCTTGTGCCAGCTCCGTAGCAATGGACTGCGCCCTTCTCGCGTCCATAGCACGCCTTCCATCGCGAAGCGCAATAGGCGTTGCCTCGACGCCGCGGGCTGGGAGGCGTACTTTCCGCCAATCAACGCAGAGATATCTCAAGACGTCTGTGATTGGTCGAAAGCAACTGTCACGAAGACGGGCGCCACTCACGACGTGCTGCGGACGCGCAGCCACTCGTTGTTTAGCTACTTCTGACCTGCCATTCCCTTGATTGGCCTCTGCACGTTTGCTCCGCACGGCCGACGATTATGGAGAACGCGGCCTCTCGCTTCGGCCAGCACCTCGCGCACACTGGTACGCTGTTCGGCGCGGCACTACTTATCGATACGGTCGACAGAACGACCGACACAGTGAATAGGCTCACTAACGTTTGTGTTGCGGGTGTTGGTGTTCGATTGTTGCACGGGGCGTTATGGTCTGTCATAGAGAAAAAGTACCGTGACCGGGCGCTGAAGAAGCTGACCGTCTACTTGACGGCCAAACGAGAGTGGAGTGAGCTGGAATGGGACAAGCTCTGGAAAGCGCTCTTCTACTGCATGTGGATGAGTGACAAGCGGCCGGTGCAGGAAGAGCTGTCGTCGAATTTGGCTGCGCTGGTGCACCGCATGCCGTCCACCGACGCGGCACTGCAGTTTGTGCACTCTTTTTTCGGACCATGCACCGAGAGTGGCACGGACTGGACGGGCTTCGACTGGACAAATTCTACTCTCTCGTGCGCAAGTTTGTGCGCGAGACAGTCGCGCTATTGCGCGCGCAACAGTGGGACAAGACATGGCTTTGCGCGTTTGTCACGATGTTGTCGACGGAGATTGTGAGCCAATTGCCCAATGGACTGCGGCTGCACTTGGCCGATGTGTACTTGGCGGAGATTTACACTGCAAGCGGCAACGACATCACGACAGAGGCGTTTGTGACGTTGCTCGAGCCGTTCTATACGCTGTTGAGCAGCGAGTACGACAAGATGGTGTTCAAGCGCGTGCGGGAGTCGGTGTTTGAGGATTTGTTGACCAAGTACAAGTGCAGACCGGAGTTGAAGAAGGAGAAGGATGACGATCGAGAAGAGACGGACGAAGAAGAGGGCGACGACGACGAGATAAAGACATTTGGGCACGTGGATGTAGCCAAGGTGCAGCACCGCATCTTTGTCATTGCGTCAGCGGACGAAACGGCCGAACGCAACCGGCCAGCGCTTTACACGCTGTACAAAAAGTTTTTTTCTGCCACGCAAGTCGACTCGTTTCAGGTTGCCCAGGAAGAGGCTAGCCAGTCCAAGAAGAGCGTGAGTAAAGGAAAGAAAGAAGAGGCAGTAAAACCTCATGTACTGGGAAATACGAATGAGAATTTGGAGATCGAGAAAACAGGTGGTGAGGACCGGAAGAAAGCAAAAAAGTCCAGGAAGCGAAAGACGAAAGAGGAGGCCGAGGCGGATGCTGATGCCAAGACTGTGGTCAAGGCCAGGGTCAAGCAACTTGAAGTTGCGGAAAGTGGTGAGACGCAAGACGAGCTCTCAGCGACGAAGGTCAAGAAGCAAAAGTACACCACTGAAGTGAAGGTGGAGGAAAAAGCAGTGGATTCCCCTCGGGAAGGCACGAAGCAGAAGCATGCTGCAGAAGTGAAGGTCGAGGATGCTCCAACGGCTACTGCTACTGGAAAGAGTAAGAAGAGGCAGACAAAGCAGGAAGCGAAGAAAGCGGAGAACAAGATTGTGGCGGAGGAACCTGTTATTATTGCACGAGGCAAGTCGTTGAAGGACGAAACCAAGGAAAAGAGTGGGAAGAAGGAGGAGGTGTTCGTCACAAAGAGCGGTAAGAAGCTTAGGCGGTGCGGTTCGTGTGGCGGTTTTGGCAAGGACTTGGTGCCAAAGGACAAGGTCAGGTGTGGCCACTGCGAACGTACGCAAAAGACAGGAAGGAAAAAGGCAGCTTTGGCTTTGAAAAAGCGGAAGGTCGAGTCACAAGCATGGGTTGCACGAGAAGAGCAAGAGAAGGTGGAGTTGAGTAAGAAGGTGACATTTGGCAAGAGCAAGGTACTGCGACACGAAGTCTCGATTAAGAGGCTAAAGGCTTCAGCGAAGCGTGATGTCGTGTCGAAGGATATGGATGAGGTCAAGAGCGTGTTGAAGGTGACAATCCCGTCGCCAGTTGCATCGAAGAAGTTGAAAAAGACGAGCACGAGCACGAGTCGAAAGACGGCTGCGCATTTCTTTTGAATTGGTAAGCGTGCGCTGCAAACCGCACGATAGATGGTTGCATTGATATCATGAAACAAACGTGGACACAGACATTACACTAGAAAAGATAGATGGTTTCACAGTGGTGTCCTATCCGATGAGCATCACCAACCTTGCTTTCGCGTTGAATTCTCGAGTGGTAACATCACAAGTTCTTGCATCGTCCGTGTTTATCTGCTGCCGGACAACCTCTGTCCTTGTCGAAAGTCATAGTTTACACGAAAAGCGCCAACTTCCATCATTGCCGCGCTGGTACGTCGCAATGTTGCTGACACCTTTCGATGCTGAAAACGAAAGCAACACCGATAGCGTGCATGTCTACATTTACAAGTTTATCATGGTATAGTCAAATCAATGTTGATCCCCATGTCGCAACGATAGATGATCCGTTGTAACTCCATCGATCTTGCTCCACTATTGTTTGTAAAAGTGGAGCGCTTGCAATCAATTCAGATGCAGCTTTTTCTGTAAGCTCTTTACATGTGTGTGTGCTTAGACGTCGCTCACCATCCATATGTAAGTCGCTCGTTACGCGGGCCGTTGTCGGTAAACTTGATCGCAGTCCCAGTGTCTACGGGAGATATCACAATCGCCGTTTGCGCCATACGTCAAATCGGCGTTGGCCGCCATGTGTTGATATGAGTGCATGCGATGCAGCACATACAATCGGAGGAATTGGCAGGTTCAATGATGACGATTACTACCATAACGAGAAACGTCATCGGTTGTGCCGCAACGACTACTCAAGTGACGTACGAATCGATTCGTCAATACATCTGCGACCATTATCACGGCATATAAAGACTCGAGGCATAGTGCAAGAGCAAGGATCAACTTTCTGCAAGCAATTATGTGACGTCTTAGTCATGTAGGTTGGCGTCATAACATGCTATACTTACACGTTTGCTGGACAGCGAGCGCCTACCACGCAACTGTCAATTGCAATGGGCCATGCTGGCACACATCAAGGTACTTGGCTAATTCGCGCTAGTAAAGAAGCCTGAGCAAGGGATCATGAGTTGAGTGACATGAAACTTGCAAGCCAAGAGTCGATGGAACTGCGCAAATGGACTAGACATTCATCTACATAAGTCGTACTTATATCAAGATCAAGCGACGAGCGGCCAACAATCAAGCAGCGTTGAGCACGTGCTTCTTGCGATCGTACCTGCCAGCACAGCAGCTACAGCTCTAAGAGCCGACATGCGCTTCGACGACCTACAATACTCCGCAAACTCCTCGACTTCTACCGAGGATACGACGGAATAAAATGCCATTACGCATTACGAGCAGCAAACGCTTTACCATACGGTGTCAACCCCACATGTCGTTTCATTGCAACCAGACAGGTCGATTTGGCGCGATAGAAGGTTTGTTCAGTTTGCTAGATAACATGTATCGCCTAGAGGACACGAACGACGAAGGAAGCCATCGTGGCGACTGTATCACCTGAGCCCGTGCAAATATCTGCAAACGGTAGGGCTCGACATAACACGCTCTGCTCACACGTCACTGCTAAAACTGAAGCAGAGGCAACGTTATGAAATGCACAGAGAACTAGCACACAATCGTTGCTGCTTCGCCAATCGTCTTTTTGTTCGAAACAATTGTGATGCCATTGTCTACCGGCCACATGACAAAAGGGACCCCGGCAGCAACGTCCGAGATGTGTGGGCTAGAGCAAAGGTTCATTCGCCCATCACCTACTTATGTAATTGCGATGTTCGATAGTCCGATGAGGTCATACTGTGTCCTTAGACCTTTCTTTTGGTCCCATCCGTCCCCTGTTGTTCGATCCGTGATCATTCGATCGTTCGTGGATCTATCCGACGTGTCGATGCGCTCTATGTATAAAGGACAGTACAAGCGTTAGACTCAGCATGTTCCTACTCGCATATCACTTCAACAGCGGTACAGATTCGACGCTAGTATATCTTCGATGGTTTCGTCACACCATCCGACGCTTGTGCTCAGAAGCGCCGCCGGTGTGACTAAAGATTATTTCGTCATAGCTTCTAGCTCTTATCGCAAGTATTGTGGTAACGTGTAGCCATTATCAGAGCAACACGACAGATAACACACAAGCCCTCTGCGTGGTTTTGTCACGCTCATCTTGTCGTAGTCTCTGGCCGACTCGCTGGCGTCATCACGGTGTACCTGCAAGAGTCCGGTCGACCGTATGGTTGACTGCTCTCCAGCTGTGTTACGACGTATATGCGTTCTAAGCTGCAACACTAGACCCATCTGCTTGCCCTCTCTAGTAGAAGCCCGTGTGGTATGTGCGTACGACATTCATGTCATCGATCATCGATCCCATCGACATTCGGAACCATGGTCAACTGATGATCACTTGTCGACTTTGCAGCTAAGAGTTACAACTCCAGCACACTACAAGATAATCGATTGACACGACACACGAGTCAAATAACAATGCGTTTGACATCGCACGAAGTGGGCTTTCAAAACTACCAGTCGCCCTCGCTTCCCGACCACGACAACGATGCAGCAATGCCGCCCCACGCAACGAGAGGTTTTGAGAGTCCAGCGGCCGCGGAAATCGGTGCAAGTCGATCGATGCATGATGTTGACATGTATGGGAGTCTCCGCAAAGGGAAACCCGTCAATTTCTTCTCGAAGGACTGTGCCGGCGTCGTGGCAGCCACATTTGCGTCGGCGTTTTCGTCTGAATGCCTTAACAGTGTGATCGATCCGATGTTAAGCAAACATTTTTACTTTAGCGTGCGCGAGTTGGAAGCTTCGCGTCGTCTGATTACGATGCCTTCAGCTTCCTGCTTCTTTTTTGGGCTATTGTCGGACTGCTACCCGATCATGGGGTTTCGCCGTAAGGCTTACTTGATCATCAGTCTGATGTCAACAGTGTTGAGCTACTTCATTCTCTCAGCATTGAACATGTATGGCGAAAGCCTCGAGCAAGGTACTGCAAGCACCGGACTGGCAGGCGGTATGATTCTGTTCTCGTCACTAGCTGGTATTGGAAATATGGTCACGTTCATGTGCGTTCACACTCGCGTGGTCGAGCTGGCTCAACGTGAACCGCTAGTTATACGCGGCGCTATCATAGCGACCTATTCGATCTTCCGATTTTCCGTCTTCGCTTCGACGAGCGCTTGTGTATATGTTGTTCGGAGCAACGTGACGTATCATAGCACGGAGTTGATTGGCTTTGGCCTCGTCATGGCTTCCACTATCCCGCTTGTGTGGAAAGCTTGGCATGAAAAGTATTACTCCCTTTCAACTTCGATGAAGACCCGCGGCCAGATTCTATGGAGAGTCATGCAGCAGAAAGCAGTGTGGAGCATTCTCGTGTTCTTGTGCATCTCTACCTTTTTCAGTAGCATCAAGTTTAACGAACACGTGCTACTCATTAAATTTTGGGCGACTGCTGGTAGTGAAGAAATACTTCTTCTACGGCAAGCCCTGAGTTACGCCACGATGATATTGATGGTCGTAGTGTGGCGCTACCTCTTTATGAATCGATCGTGGCGTGTTTTCTTTGCAATGTCCACTGTGCTGCTTGTCGTTCCTCAAAGCATCCAGGCTACGTGCATTACGCTGGACATCTTTCGGAATCGGTACTTCTACCACATGATGAACCTATTCCCAAGTATGTCAGTCGGCATCTCTTGGCTATCAAGCATCGTACCGCTCACGGAGATCGCGCAGGAAGGCTCTGAAGGTGCCATGGTTGGACTGATGACGTCTCTGTACTTTTCGGTCATCATCTTCGTTCAGACAAACTCGACTGGGCTGTTCAAAAGCTCAAACTTCTACGACATTGAAGACATTGCATCGGACTCGCCGAAAGCGCGTTTGGATGTGCTGAAGACGATTCTCTTGAACTATGGAATCAATGCCTTGGCACTCATTGGCATCTTCTTCCTACCGCGACAGAAGCTCGAAACCCAGCAGATTCGAAGTTACGGCGGATATACCAAGTGCGCGAGTGCTGCTATCCTCGCGTTCGTTGTGGTGCTCTTTTCGTACTCACTGATTGTCACGATACTCACGTTGTTGCCGTCGACGTCTTGCTTGAGCATTGCTGGTGGAGAGGGCTGTTGAATTTCCATTACGGTCGCTATGTCGTGCGCCGTTATGACACATAATGCATTCATTTAAACGCTTCTTGTTTTTATCGGTGTGCAGGATCCAACCTTCCAGGAAAAGATAGGGGTCTTATATCAGCCTAAGCCAAAGACATCGATGACCGACTCCATGTATCCTGAATGCGATACTATTCTTCGCTTGGCAAGTTGCCGTATGGACCTTTTGTAAAGTGTTTCAGCGTTCTGCTTATGAGAGTACAAGTCACCTGCAACGATTTGCTACTTTAGTACAAATGTCGTCAAACTTGGTCGAATGTGATGCGTAGCTTGCAATGCGTGGTGCTAGTTGGGCTTTGCGTTGTCTTCAGTGCGCCGCAACAATGTTGTATGTCCATTAGCTGATTCATACACCATCTCCTGAAGGCATAAGTTTATTTTGGTACCGCTTCTGTAAAACGCTCTGATTTTGAAGGTACGAGTAGCAACTTATCATTCATTTCTAAATAGTGATGAAATGCGATACGATAGCTTACATGTTGCCTTGGCAATTTCTCTATCATAAGATGCGACAGATAACAGCTCTGTAGTAGCTTAGCGGTTTAGCAGACAACACGTTCATTATAGCAGACCGTCCATGTTTGCTACGCAAATGCGTGAGACTTTTACATGACCGTAACCGACTAGCAGGGAATTGCGCAACGAACACATGTGGGCATTGCAATGTCGGTCTTGGGAAAATGCAACGATTCGGAGATTTCGAAGTGGGCTCAGTTCCGCGAGTGGTCGATTACGTTCACTACCATGGCAAGTTAAATGCCATCGAATTGGTGCTTGATCGATTCCCATGCTCAATCATGGAGTCGAGAAATGGTCATGAGTCTATGTGACAAAGCGGTATGCCTTGCTCGTGATATAGTACGATAGTTCAAGCGACCGTTGGCGCTGGATTGTGCAAATACACGAGCTCAAGTTTTCGCTTTGTGCTTCACTTCTTCGTCACACTATCGCATCGACATGCATTCGAACGACTATGGTATGCCACTAAATAATTGAAGAATCGAGATGTCACCCATCCGTTGACGCATCTACAGAAGTGCATGGTATGGTTTGTGTATCTCGTGAAACATGTAAGAGCCATCGGACAAACCTTGTGTGATTCATATTGACAAAATTTGCAGTCACATAGAGCTTGCAGTTGTCGCCTTCATGTTCTTATTTAGATATAATAAAGAGCATAAACTTTGCCATTGGGTATGTGCCCATATATTGAATAATATTTTTTTGTGAGATGTAATACATAAACGAAAATTTTGTAAGATCTGATACAAGGTATTTTATAGAAGGAAATATATTTAAACCACAACGATATGAAGCTATTTATGCAAAGATCTGAAACTATTTATACAACGAAGTAATGCTATTTATTTCGATCAGAAGCTATTTATCACGATCTAAGGCTATGTATGACAGTGTTTTGCATCTCAAGCAATGCTAGTGATTTTAGGTTCAAACAATCTGAAGCTTATTTTCTCGATCTGAAGATATCTTTCACGAACTGGAGTCAATTATGAAAAGTTGTCGCAAATCGAGCATGTCGGGAAGCCTTCGACGGCTCAACTAGTCACCAGCTTAATAGTCCGTGGTGCATTGTATACAAAACCGACCACGTCCGCAAAATTTTAATTGGATAAAATTCGTCACCAAGCCAAGATGATGCGTCCTATCATGTGATGTATCGTGCCAAGGACACGATAAATGAAGAGCTGTTTTCTGAAGCTTCAACAAGGATTACTCTATTTTCCAGGTCTAATTTCGGAATTTCAGCGTCTGAACCCAGGAACGCTTACGAAGATCCAGTGCAACGAGAAGAGGCACTTTCACCGGGCAATCGTTGTGCTAAACCCGAAGTGAGTTTCAAATGACCAAGGGAGTTTTGAAGTTGATGCAGATCACATGAAACATCGCAAATACAACGGGGTTCAGATTGTATTGGCCAGTCGTGAAAAAACTTTAATAACAAAGTTGCTGCAATTGCGCTCGTCGCTGCTGAAGACTACGATAATTACTCGGTTTTTTTTTGCCGTGTTTTAAATCATGGTTTTCCACTGACTCTAGTCCCGTCTTCAGTGGTAGAAATGCTGGTCTGGTATTTGCCGCCTAAAAGATTGGCTTATTTAACATATTATGCATTCGTGACATCATAGGTACGGAATCATCCAAATTATCAGCAGTTTCATTCTAACTTGTCTAATACTTCTGCAAAGGTTATATGAGAAATGACAAGATGGTACGACTATTGATCACCCAAGAGAAGTTCGTATGGGAATCGAATGATGCAACACGTCGATCAGGTTTCGATATCGCGATGACCGAACTAACGCGATCAACCCGGCTGCTGCTGTATATTAAATGCAATACAATACGTAAGTGGAAACTTCTCGTACACTACGACGCAACTCCATTTTACGGATGGCGAACGAATCACTTTGTTGAGAGCGAGCAAGCACGCAAAGAGTATTCGCTTGAAGCGACGGCTTATAATTCCGTTTGAGTTTTTCAAGGCTTATACGACGATTATGGTGGATAAGTATCACATAACGGTTTCAATAGGGCATGCTATGGAGGAAAGATGGACGTACAATTGCGCCTTCGGTCGAACAAAAGTTGCAAAAACGTGTCATGGATGCTGTACAATATGTTGTGACGTTCTGTTCTGATAACGTAGTATTTGTCGCTCGTTTCACAAATTAACTGAAGCAACATCGTTTCGACATAAAGCAAGCATTATGATCATGAGAAACACGAAAGCAGCACAAAATATGGTGCCGCCATTTGATCGCGACCTTAAGTGCGGTAGATAAGCCTAACATTGCGTACGAGCTGATGGGTAACTGTTACAAAGTTGCGGCGTATCAAGCGAGCGTCAAAACGCTTGAGGTTGCTAAGGACCTGTGTTAATGCGTGATCAAAATACCCTACCCGCAGTTTATATTCGACAAGCGGGACGCCCGAAGAAAAGACGTATCAGGTCACAAAGTGAGTCTGGCGGGAATGCAAGGATGCCCTGCAAATGTAAGCAGTGTAATACATCGGGACACAACAAGGATACATGCCGCTGTGATTGACGTTATGCTACCGAGATGGATCATCGTAACGCTTTGTTATGGTCTAACATGACTGTGGTTGAATTCATACGTAACCATATTCCATACTTTGCATATATTACACTATTTTAAGGCGCCGAGCAGAACTGAATGCGGCAACGACTTTTCAATATACGGCACAAGCAATCGCGGACGATACTCCTGATGCTATCGGTCGTAAAATTACTGATCAAACTGATCCCGAACGAGTTGCAAGACCTTCATATTGACATCCCACAGACTTGCTAGCGTAAAACAGAGTACGCCGGCGACATGTACACGTTCGTACGTTTTCCGAGCTGACCGACGCGGTTTTTACACGCCACACGCGACAGAAACTCATCACATTCCTTGCGTTACGTCGTAATATGCACACGGCGACGTCGGGGCCTTCAATGAAGTCACTTGAAAGCATATAAAACGTCCATTCGGTCAATCAATCGACTTTGTCCGACTTGATACACTCGCCTTTTTGTTCGCTGCCAAAATAATGCTGCGTGATCCCGCGCGAGGACTCAGAAAAAGAATCGGACGTATAAGATACCGTCTTTGAAGACGGTGATGAAATTATGTAATAGGAATACGTGTGGGGCGACACTGCAGCTGCTACACCCTCAACGGTCGTGGCGCGGTGAAAGCCTCCGACCACTGCTAATGCGTTACCATACGTCACTTCTACTCGCCAATGAACTGGCAGTGGTTAGTTTATCATTAAGCGACTCCCCAATCTTCTCGTGCGGAATTAGATGCGAGTAGCAAGATGTGCCCCGCCGATACTTAATTTAACAAACAATAACTTGGGCCTTAAGATAGCCTTGATTTCGATCGCTGTAATTTAAAATTTTTTTTATCTTATACCTTGTATCACATCTTGCAAAATTTTAGTTTTTGTATTACATCTTACAAAAAACCCTTGAATAATTACCCCAAATAGTGTGCCCAATACCCAACGTATCGACAACGATTTATGGCTCCAGTTCAGATTAGACGACTTCAACTGGATCTTTCGATCTGAACTGTTCCTCATCAGAGGATTCTTTCCCCGGATCGCGATCAAACGCATCCAATGTTACCAGGATGTTTCATCATGCACGCACCATCTTCAATAGAGTAAACGGCAAATTTTAGAATCAGATACTTCTTTACTAAGGATCGGCAAATACTTCGACAAGAAATACCCATTTAGTCGACACTTTATTGCGCATCCATCCTGTCATATCCACGTCAATAGACCAATCCGAATTGATTCGGCTTCAATCAATCACTGATCTTCACTCTGCCTTAATCGTAGTCGTTAACCGTGGATATTGACCTCTGAATATTGATGTTTGCATACTTGAGTAGTTAAGCTGTGTGGATCTGATTTAGCGTATTGCCCTATATCGATATGTTAAGCTTATACTATTCAGAGGCTTAATTAAATGCCGATCTCAACTTCGAAAGAACGCCGAAACATTCAGCCCCATCGGTCCGGTCCAAAATTCTAGCCAGATGTAATCTAGAGATCATAGGTGGTACCGATCTCCGCTATACACCAATTCGATTTATATGAATCCACTTTGACACATTGCATGAAGTTGCTATGCGATAGTAAACGAAAGTTATCATTCGAAATGAATTGTTCTTTAGGCAGTAGCAAGTTTTATGACACATTTCATGCGGTATGGTCTCATACCGGGCTATGGAGAAATATGTTTGTCCCCGAATCAATTGAACATTTCAAATTCTGGCATTTTTCCTTAGAAACCTACCAAATTTGATTCAAAACAAAATAAATAGTGTTTACAAAATCATGGTATGTTCTATGATTGTCAGTTTCATACAACATCCAAATCCAGCATATGGTATGATGAGTTGTTTGATCTCTAAAAAA